CGGTGTAATGAAAATAATAACAATAACAATGATTACATATTATGTGTACATATGCCATATGTGTATCTCACATTGAGGTTGTCTTTTTATCTTCCGGGCTTCAAATAATGTCTGGCAAATCCGTATTTTCAGCTGCATCTTGATATTTAATCATGAGACATAATCCCGTGGCACAATTATGAAAGTTGATTCAGTCAACATTGGGCCAATTCATCACACTTATTGCAAATGAATGTTTTCCTAATTTTATTTGTGGCAAAGCCCTGTCCATATGACTTATCGTTCAGAAACGTCTACATCGTTCTCTTGATGTTGGAAATATTGGTAGTATATTCTTGGTGGATTTTGAACAAAGCCCAGGCTGAAATTATTGACACAACAAGAATTATTAAGAATTTTACCAAATAATTTATTCTTTGCTTTGAAAAAGCGACAAAGTAGTTCAAGGTTATATAAAAGGTAATGATTATATTATTTGAAACATAGTCTTTTCAAATCTATACCATGAATAAATATAACATCAATTTTGTGTCTTTACTTAACGCGAAGTACGATAATGCTCGGTAGACCCATGGCCCATTTACAAATACGTGAGTTAAACACACGACATTACCTCACATTGGTAATAACTTTGGTACGAGAGGTTAAGTTCTGGAAAGTGAATGTTGTGTGTGTATGAGGAAAACGACGTATCGGTGTAAGAATATACTCTGAAACGTCGTGTTCCCTATATTTCGGAAGCTGACATCCATAACCCCCCTTCCCCTTTAATCGAAAAAATAATGAAATTAACAATTCTATCATACAAAACTAGACGAGCAATTCGTGACTAAACGCGTACTTGGGGAATCGTCAGACATCACTGGTATGTAAATCAAACGACCGACACATTTTCAGAAATACACAAAAGTGTACATCAATATTTAATACAACTATTATCCATTTTGTTAAAGTATTGATTCAGTTGAAGTTATAAAATATATAGCAATGACTTATACTATTCAATCGCCTCCCAATCGCCTGCTCATATGAAATTACAGTATGACTCTCCTCAGTTTTGGACATGTTTTGGAGTAACATCCACTTTTCATTTTCTAAAATTTCCCTAAAGGTAAGAAGTATGGTATAGGACACTAAATAAGTCAATTTCAATGTCAAACACAGATTATCGAATGTTCATACATGCTGTGACATGGGCCTGCGCATGATACTATATTTAACATTAATAAAAAAACATTAACAATTTACATTTACAAAAATTCATTTAAAAGAAAATACGCAAAAGATATGCAAAATTATATCATTGAATCTGTTGCAGTATGTGTAAATTATTGTAAGTTACTACTGTACACCTTCACCTTCACCTCGAAGAAATCACTCCTTATGTGCAACAATGTTTACCAATGACATCACAACCACGACTTTATAAGGTAGCTACAAGTTACAGCCAAGGGCCTAGATTTTCGAAGCTCTCTTAGCGATAAGATGGTCGTAAGTGCCATACATTAACATTAACTTACGACTATCTTACCGCTAAAAGAGCTTCGAAAATTCAGGCCCTGCACCCTTATTCTCGAAACGTTAAGTCTGGTAATTTCAAAGCAGGTTTTGCCTTAAACCAGGTTTAATTGTTCATTTCAACAAAATTTATTTTTGCGAAACTCAGTTTCCCAAGCACAGCGTTCGTTTTTTATGTCCAAGATTTTTATGGATTAAACTTCTTTTTAATTTCTCTCACAAGTTTCGAGACCATTCCAGGCATCAGGTGAAGCGTACTGGATCTTAAAAAGAAGTTTAATCCATAAAAATTTGGACATAATCTACGTGAAAGACATCATACGTACAGACATTTTGTATAAGTGACAAAGTAAATTTGAATTTTGATGTTAAAATGTATTCGTAATTGAATGTTGTATGTATCGATGTCTGATAACCGGCTTACGCGGATTGTGTTTTTGTTTAGTTTAGACCTACCGGAAGCGTCGGAATATATTTCCCGTTCATAGTTTCAATTTAACCAAGTCACGCGATAACCTTGGAGGAGGGACGTTGCTAAGCAACGGTGATTTCAATCAGCCATCTTTGTTCACTGTGAACGAACATCTCTGATTAGACACCTTGTTTGTTGTGAAAAGTACTGCAGATTTCTTGATTTCAAGCACTTTCGTGCCTGCCCCTCTCTTGCTTTACCTATGTTCTCGTCTATCTCAGGTATTTCTTTGCTTTCTTTCTTTTATTTCTCCTCATTTATGTTTCGACGTGTGTGCCTCTGTTTTGCCTTAGCGAATCTTTTTCACTTTTGGTTCCCGACGGCTATATCTTTCACTCTTTCAACATTGTAACCCGGAAAGGGGTGTCTACCAAAGTTTCATGCGTCAGCAGTCAGCACCTACCTATCTAAGGTATAATAGAGATATAACAGAAAAAGATTACTTCTTACTATGATGACCAATCAATTATTTTAAATATAAATGGACAACTCCAAGGATAACGATTTTGGAAAATAAGAGTATAGTGCTGATCGCCGATTGTACTTGATAGAAAGCGCGGTAGCAAGTTGAAGTCATGGATAAGTATGGTTTTGTCTCTGTGATTATGTCTCTGCCAAATTATGACCTGGTCTTTGAGGTTTAAAGTTTGATACCTGAAAATCAGCAATCCGTTTCTTATATCACTCTGTTCATCTGTTTCATGATCAGCATAAATTTTATGTACATTTATTTTTGTTATCTTTGTATTCTTATGTTCACCCTCTTGTCTCTCTGGTTTGTTCTTAATGAAAAATAAACTTGAATTTTTCATACTTGCAAAGCAACTGTCGCTCTTCATTTCCCATGTTGAATTATGTGCCACTGTGTGTTTGTATGCAATATGTGAACATGTACGAGAACATAAAGGCACATAGATGTAGAACTTACGCAGATACATGTACAAACCATATGCATCTGAAGAAGAGCGTGGAATGATTTTCATGACTGATGTAGACATACTGTTAGAACTTTGAAGGTACCAGATGTAGATAATTTCAAACTTTGTATCTTAACATAAGTGTTAAGTGATTGATAGCAAAAGAAAACCTATATCTCAGTGGTACCATTAAAAGATGCAGTATGTGGTGTTCAAATTGCTATTGAAAGTTGAAATGTACACATGACAGCAAGAGAGCTTAATATTTCTTTGTATTTATCTTACATATTGCTTATTATGTTAACATATTAAATCAAGATCCTGGTGATGAAAATGTGTTTTCTAAAATATGTTCTGAAAAGGCTATTCAAACAATTGCAGATATACAGGCTAGTATGTTTTATATACTTATATCAGTACATAATTCATAAATAAACACTACCCAACGCTGCAAACCCAGTTTTATTCCAATTAAAAAACGGAATAAAGCAGATTCACAAATTACAGTGAACTTTACCCCTTTAATTCGAATGATTAATCAAAAATAAAAACAGACTAAACCTGGGGCTAAATAAAACAAATTTGAGGCTGGGGCTGTTTTTGCTTTGTTTCATTTCTTTTTTTATCATGTAAGTCACTAAGGTAAACTTAGTGCAATGTTAAAGAATGGGAGTTAATGTTAACCTTGGTAAAGGTTGCTTCGTGAAAGGAGCCCCAGTGTAAGTGCAGGAACTGTGCTCGTCATCCAAATGGATATGGAAGAAATGTTCAAATATGATAAAGAACTTTCCATTTCATTGTATATAGTCAAAACCTATTTAATGGCCTTCAGAGATGACTTGTATCTCACTGATCAATAAGGGTAGAATTTTTCAGGTCATGTTTTCAGTTGATGCATTGAGTGCAATATTAAAATAATGATTTGAATTCAAGAAAATAATTAGCTTTAATGAAGAAGTCACTTAAGTTTTAGTATATTCTAGTCAAATGATGGTAGGTAAACCTCCAAAAAGAAAGTATAAAATGATATAGAAATATTTTTAATTGTTACAGTAAGTCTCTGTTGAATTTGCCGCCTGACTTTATTAATTATTGTGTTTCGGTGGAAATGTATGTGTATTGTCATAATCATTTAACTGGGTGTATCCTGAATCACACTGTGTGATTGACTATAAATTTATACAATATAGGTATATTTCAACTATTAACTATTCCATCATATGTTTTATGCATTAAACAGAAAAATATATCCCTGTGCGAGTCGAGAGTTTATAAATAAACTGACTCTCTTGTTTCTGATTACTGAAGCTGTTTTTGCTGGGTTTTGTCGTGGGTGCATACCATCACCAAGGACGCAGTGTCAGTGATATAAACATATTCAATTTCAAACTGGCATGGATCCTTAACAATGTTGCAAATTATGGATCAAATGGTGATTCAGCCTTTTCAGTTCTATAATCAATGACTCGACAATATATGGCTCTCTAAAGATTGATGACGTGAGGGTGAGGTTTCCAACATTGCATACAGTGAAGTGACCAGCGAACGCTCTGAAATACTGCTTAGGAACTCTGTAGCCAAAAGACTTCCTGAACCCCACAATAGCTACTTTCAGACTGATATCAATATTCAGGGAATGAAGTGAAAAATGTTGTACAAACATCTCCACAAACTTGTATATATGCTTCTATACCCTCATGCTGTTCATCATTTGCTTGATAACGGTGGTAGAACCTACATCGAAACGTTGCTCCCACTGCAATAAAGAAGTTGTTCATCCTTATATTGTTATCCTTCCATAATGTGTAAAACATAACAAAGAAACACTGGCTCACACGTATCCACAACCACCACACATACGCACGCATATGCCTAAATTCTGAATAGTGAATTTAATCAAGACCACATCTATCTTGGAGGGGCGTGTTTGTACGTCATATTTGTTTTTTAATGATTGATAATATTGTTTAGAGTAGACGGAACTCTCTACTACCAAAACCGCCAAACACAACACACTTGTTCACCAGTTTAATGTTATATTCATCTCATATTCTTTTGATGCTGTTGAATAATTCCAGTCTCGTTGCTTTCAGGATGGACTCCTCCCGGTGTTGGGCCCCCGGTCCGCGCCAACGGAGCCCCCTTCAGCCTCCCGGACCAGTCTCTGCCTATGGACCTGAGCTTCAAGCTGGGCGTCTACCCAAGCACCCCAAGCGATGTCTCCGTCTATAGGTACAAGCTGGGCGTCCCTTGTGGCCGTGTGTCATCCCGGGACCCTCGTCTGTTTCGACGCCCCATGAGTGATGTAGCCACCCTGCCGCCCGTGTCTGGAGAGATGCCGAAGCCTGAACTTGTTCAGGTACTGGTTAAGCTGAACAAAACAAAAGTGTAAGTGTAACTTGAAGTCTTTTATGGGATGTTCAACCAAAAACATAGAAAGCATTTGTGACATATTCATTTGGATACGATTCACAGACTCTGGCTGGAACAGTACCAACATGTTAACCATAAACCTCTTCTCCTACAGGTTTTCTCCGACCTCATGCAGCAGGTTGCGGCTGCTCCTCTGCCGTCATCAGACGAGGAAGAAGAGGTTGTCTCCCCTAGATCGGCTGCTGCCTCAAACTCAGAGCAGGTTGTCTCCCCTTCACGTCAAACTGAGGTAGCTCCAACTGATACTCAGGACAAGGTACAGTTACACGCTGGCACTTTTGGAAACACCTTTGATGTCTAATCATCTCTATCGCAGAGAGATACCATAAACTCATTTCAAAACCCTTGTCTATACATAGTATTAGTTTCATATTTTGAAAATAATAAAGGACGGTTTAAAATGGTGTGTATTTGTTTTTTGGATGTACTCGAAACTCAAGAAATATTCCATTTACAGACTGAAGTGAACCCTGCTGCTGTGGCTCTGCCGTCATCAGACTCAGAGAGCGGCTCAGAATACATCTCAGGCTCAGACTCGGATGATGACAAAGAATGCACCTCATCATCTTCAGGCAGCACATGCAGCAGCAGCTCGTGCGCCAAATGCAATGGTTCAGACAGCTCATCCGACAGCGACTCTGACAACTCCTCCTCCAACTCATCCAGAAGCTCATCTGACAGCTCATCCAGCAGCTCATCTGAGGACGAGGATTCCAGCAGCAAAGAGGATGATGTCTCAGACCACCCCACTGAAGAAGTGGACCATTCCCCTAGTTTAGGCCATAAGGTTAGATTCAAATTTGGGCCAAAAGGTGCACATTCTGAAATGAAACTGTCAACAAGCACAATATTGGATAACGTTTGTATTTCATGGTTATCAAATGATTGAAAAATCATCTAAAATTGTTACAATGTAACATAACCTATGTGACCATGCCCTCCACACAACTTGTCAACGTCCACTGTATTTGTTTGTTTCAGTCTGGACCAAGTGCTGAGACATCTCCTTGCTCCTCTGGATCTCCAGCCTCATCTGCATATGGATCAAGCTCTGGATCTAGCTCGGGATCAGCTGCTAGCCCAAGTTGCAGCTCAGGATATGGCTCAGCTACTCCTGGCACCTCCTCGTCTGTCACCCATGACCCAGACTTCGAGAAGAGACTTACGATCACTCGATATGGTCCTCAGGTAGGTTGTCCTTGGTGACCCTGCACGTGAATCGACATTAGATATATCGGTACAAATTTTGTGATGTATTTGTTCTTAAAAGTATATATTATTTGTTAATTATGTCCACCGGTTTATTTAGAATGAATGTGTTGTAATGACGTTTCATGATTCTTGTTAGCAAACACAGATATATTTTCAAGTCTGAACTATGAAAAGTCCAATTTTAAATTACATAATTCTTTCGTAACGTATGACAAACTTATACTTAATTGAAAATGCATGGATGTCTGCAAATCATTTCAAAAGTGTAGTTTAAATGTGAACTGCATTTGCTTGGGAAGCTACAAAATCTTCAAGAATTTTCTCATGGCTCGGACCAGTGGACTACTGGTCGTATCTTGCTTCGAAAATACGTGCAGGCAAATGCACATGTGTCTTAAACTATTTGAAAATAGATTATCCCGGAAACATCCATTTGTGATTAATGATTCATTACTAAACAAATTATATTTATTGATCTCAGAGGCGGATTCCAGATTTTGAAGAAGTCTGGAAAAATGTTGGGAGTGATAATACCAAAGTTACAGATTGATTTGTTCAAGCTGTTTGTTAACGCTTAAGGTTTCAGACAAAGGGAGGGAGCCTTAGATAGCTATGTGATTTGATTGTTTGCTTATGCACTCGTGTGTTCATTCTATTGTGTTTTTTCATTATTCATCAAATCGGCTTATTTTGTCATTTCAAGGTTCGAGGTCTCAGGGTTTGGTACAACGAAGATGAGGTAAATATGACATTAGTGAAAATCTGGTCATTTTGATATGTGGCCTTGTGTCAACAAGTATAACCTCGTGGATTTCTAATGTAACCGAGCATGAGCGATCTCATTCCTTAGCACTAAGGTGACAGTAACTGCCATACTTTAACATAGGCTGCTTTGTGGAACGGGGGCGAATTGTCTAGTGCGTTCGTGAGGTGTATTGGAAGCCTGTGATCGTAAGATCGAACCCTGCTTCGGTCGATAGGTTGTATTTCTAGCTTTAAAGCACCAAACCCGTTCTTGTGTGCTTCAATAAAGTTTAAACAAACATCTGAGACCAGCATCTCTTGTGTTGTGCTCCCAGGTTGATACCTAATAATAAGACCTAAACATTGTTCAAACACCAGTCACTTATTTTTAATATAACTGCTGAGATATTCAAATGATCAGAAACTTACACTTTCATAATCACTGAGATTATGCTCCTTAAATTCCTCATTGCACCAGTTCAGTGTGTCTGTTTCACACCATCTTCTTTCCAGAGTGATGACTCCAGCAGCGACTCAGACAATGAGCCCGTGCTTCCACCGCCCGCTGCTCCCGTCCCCTACACTGGCAAGGGCAAGGGCAAGAGCACCAAGAGGAGAAAGGTTGATGACCTCGTCGAACCATTCAGCCGCCTAAGCATCGGCCCTCCTCGTCCACGTCGTTCCGTTGCCCCTCGTCGCCTCCTCAGGTGTTTCGGCAAGCTCGATATCACCGAGCCGCCAACGACCAAGATGCCAACCAAGAGGAAGGTGGGAGTTCATCACTGTAATTCCTGTAAATCTCAATCCGCGTCCAGTGGGGGTGGTTACATGACAAAATCGAGAATAATATTTTTCCAGCAAATGTCCTTTTCTAATAGGCTGAGCGCACATCTATTATTTTCAATGTACCCCGCTTACAAACGATTATCATTTTCTATGTTAACGGCTGGGAATGCCGAACTGTGGAAATTCATATGGTACTTCGTGTTAGTAATTCTTTATCTCGAATATTTGAGTCACGTATGATGTACGGAAATTACCGATATTTTGCGAATGCAAATCGATGGAAGGGAGATAACTCTTGTCGTCTGTCGTTGTCTGCACTGGCTAATTGCCTAACTCTGGTACTTCACTGAGCACCGGTGTATTGATACTTTTAATGATGAATGAGTAAAATGAACGTGTGTGTGTGTGTGTGTGTGTGTGTGTGTGTGTGTGGCGGTGAGGATCCGGGTTAGAATTGATCTTCAGTAATCCATGCATGTCGTAAGAAGTGACAAACGTGATCGGGTAGTCAGGCTTGCTGACTTGGTTGACACATGTCACCGTATTCAAGTTGCTCGATTATTTTCATACCGCTGCCATATTTTTGTTGCATGTAAGGCCTTTGGGCCATATACAAAAATGAAATGACAATTGTAGTAAGAAGACAGAAATATCTCAAATGGTCTGTAATTGTTGCGGTACAGACAGATTAAAACATTTACCATTGTATGTGCCAAATATGATATAATTAAATATATGAACTTGTGGAGAATCTGAGTTAGAATCGGTCCCCAGCAAACTATTCAGCTCGTAATGGAAGACCATAGGGATCAGGTGATCAGATTCGGTGCTGAGTTGTTGATTGCGTGTCATTAAACCCCACGATTGTCACCATATCAATCGCTAGATTGTCTGGTCATGACTAGATTATTCAATTTGACAACCAGTGTGCGAAATAGTTTCCAAGTTTTGCTAGCCAGTCGGGCAAGGTATGCCTGAAAGTTACTTGCCAACGAAATAATTCACTAGCCCGAAATTTGAATGTAGAAACTAAGCAATAGATTACAAAAAGGTAATACCATCATATATCAGGCCATAATCTTGCATGATTTAAAAGTAAATTATAACTTAACAAGTCGGAGAGTAATATATTACAAAAATGAAAATTCACTAGCCACTCGGGCCTGTGACTGGAGATTTACTGGTCCGAGTGGATTTTTACTAGCCACGGGCTAGCGGGCCAGTGGCTAGTTCGCACACTGCCTTGAAGTAGCTGGAATATTGTGTGCGGCGTTAAACAACACATAAAGACTTGTATACATTAAAACAAAACACAACCCTCAGTGTGAAATTAATAAAGAAAAAATACAATTGTGTTAATTTGTGGTATGGTCATCACGTGGTGGTTTTGGTGTAGCATTAGTCCCACGTAACCCTTGTAGTTTGTAAGATGCCAACTGAATAGAGAGGGTGATGGATCATAAAATGTTTAAAAAAATAACGAAACCCCCCACCCGATGGTATGTATTTTAATGACGTCATGATTCTTTTCAGGCATGTTACGAGGAAGACTCGGAGGAGGAACATCAGTCGAGGAAGAAGAGGCGAGCGGAACAACGTCGTTATGTCGAGCTCGTCCGAGAGATCTTCGGGGCCGACAGCGACGACGAGACTCCAGTGGAGACTCCCAGAAAACGTCGCCATGTTTGCAAGAGACGCAAGGCAGCTTCTGCGTCAGAGACAGCACCTGCCCTGCCCGGGGCAAAGAAAGTCCGGGTGTAAAATAATATATACCATGAATAATGATAGGAAATTAGGGCCATTTTGGAACATTTTAACTATAATGATAGCAACTAAAAAAGACGTTAAGTTTGCAAAATTCAGATCTAAAATACATTAAAAACTATTTTAACTTTTTCAAACTAAGGCTAATTAATGTTGAAATTGATGCCAAATCTTAAATTAGAAAGAACTCGTAAAATGTTCTTTTTTCAAAGGCTAAATAATGAAATTATAGTGCTGAAACTTATGCCAAATCTAAATTATAATGTACTCGTAAAATGTTTTCAAAGGCTAAATAATGAAATAATAGTGCTGGAACATATGCCAAATCTAAATTGGCAAGGACTCTTAACATGTTTCAAAGGCTAAAAACTTAAATGATAGTGCTGGAACTTATGCCAAATCTAAATTAGAAAGTACTCTTAACATGTTTCAAAGGCTAAATACTTAAATGATAGTGCTTGAACTTATAACAAATCTTAATTAGAAAGTACTCTTAAAACATATTTTGTTCAAGGCTAAACAAGGTCAATGATCATTCTGGATCTGAAGTCAAATCAAAAGTACTGTTAAAATAACTTTTTCCGAAGCCTAAATAATGAGAGTAATCATGATCTTCTTTCTCTGCTGTACTGCCCAAATTGTTGTGAGTAAATAACGGGTATGAGATAACCATGTTGCCAATGATTATACGTAAGTGTCAAACAGTGGAATTGATATATATTTCTGAATAGTATACAATTCCTTATAACCATATGGGATCTGGGAATAGTTTATAGATTTACAATCAGAAGCTTATACAGTAGTGATAACACAAAACTGATTGGATAGTAATGTATTGCGATGTGGTAAGAACACCAACGTCAAATAGATTGAATAAGATACAACAAAAATGATTTAAAAATTAAACCATGTTGTGTTTTTAAATTCCAGATATGCAATTTCTTAGAATATACGAATAAATTATTCATAAATAAATAATGATGATTAGTATAATTGTTAAATCTTTAATCTAGAGGAAGTATGTAATTTGCTATATGAAGGAATTGGTTAGGTTCTTGTAAGTAAACGTAAAATTCCATATTTTGATATAAACATATAATCTCAAATAATTTTACTTTATAAAAACGTTGTTTATCTAAAAGTTCTTTTAAATAGCTAAGCAATATATTGTAACGATTGTTTAATAAAAATGTATAAAAGTAGGGTAACTCATGGCCCAAGTCGTAATTAATGACATGGAACAAAAATAATATGAAATTATTATTTCTTACAATAATTAACTGAGTAATAGTTCTGAATATATATATATATCCCCAGAAACATATCGAATTTTGTGATTTTCATATTTTTGATATTTCAAATCAGTTCTGATCAAATATACATTATATTTTAGCGGTATTTAACATTCAGTTAATTTTTTCTGAATGACAAGCAATGTATTTTTTCACCAATTTACAATTGTTATATCTATTCAATTTTTGATGAATTATCCCTCAGGTGCTATATTAATATTTTATACAAATTATTGTACTATAAATGTTCTAATTTATTAAATAAATAATGTTTAAATCGTTTGCCATAGTTGTGTTGTGTATTTGTTTTGGTCGTATTCTTATAACGGATGATCCGTGAACATCCGGATTAGAATTGGCCTTCAACAACTAACCGACTTGGGTAGTCAGGATCACTGCCTCCTATGACACATGTCATCGTATCCTAATTGCGTAGATTGATGCTTATGATGTTGATCACTGGATTGCCTGGCCTGGTATTTACAGACCGCCGCCATATAGCTGGAATATTGCTGAATGCGGCGTTAAACAACAACAAACAACAACAAAATATATAGGGATTAACGTTGCAACTGGGTGGTTCTTCATGAACAACTTTTCAAGTACCCATGGGTTCATTTGAGAGCAGGGGCGGTGTGGATAAAGCGTTCGCTTGTCACGCCGAAGGCTCGATTCCCCACATGGGTACAATGTGTGTGAAGCCGATTTCTTGTGTTTCCCGCCGTGATATTGCTGGAATGTTGCTAAAAGCGGCGTAAAACCATACCACTCACTCATTAGTAGCCCATTCTTAGTGTCCCTACCTTGACGTGGCTGCAATACTGCTGGAATGGCGGGCACATGCTGACTTTGGTTTCCATAACTATAGGGAACATCCGAGTTGGAATGGATCGTGGATCGGTGCTCATGATAGTAATCACCGGTTTGTCTGGCCCTGTACATGATGCGACAGAAACTGCAGTCTTGCTGATTACGACATTATACCACAAAATCGTTTGAGGTGCCACGTGATTTGAACGACATTCCCGTTGTACATGCATAGGCTTTTAGCGGATTCGAACTATCCGAGACTATCAGTTATTGTTGAGCGGTGTCGGTAGGTATTTAGAGTATGTTGGTGTGTTTATTTAGTGCGATGTGGTGTGGTGAGATGTGGTATGGCTGGTGTGATCTGTGATCTGTGATCTGTTGTGTGGCCTGTTGCGTTGCCCTGCGTTGCCTTGCCTTGCCTTGCCTTGCCTAACCTCGTGTTGCCTTTCCTTATGTTATGCTATGTAGTGTATCGTGTCGCCAATAACTGTGGATCTATGTGGTAGAGGATATCGAATTGTTGTTTCGAGTGTTTCACGCTTGTTTGTGTATGTGTGGTGTGGTGTGTAGTGTGGTGTGGTGTGGTGTGGTGTGGTGTGGTGTGGTGTTGTTTTGGTGTTGTGTTGTGTATGTTTTGGTGTAGTATGGTGTCTGGTGTTGTGTGGCGCGATTCGGAAAAGGCCAGACAGAACTTTCATCAGAAAGGAAAACATTATCCCAATCTTGATTTTCGTGAGCCCTACACCAGTTTAAACGTCCTTCTTTTTGTACATCTTTCATCAATGGTGATGGAATTCCGCGCTTTTTCACCCAGTTAAGTCTTTGTAAATCTTGTCTAAGGGTTTCATTACATAACTGAGGACATCCTCAATTAATCATCTCATTTCTGATATTCTCAACGCTTTTCAAATTTCCCCTGCTCACAATCTGACCAAGTCGCCGGCGATCCATAGTACTGAACTTACTTGGCCTCCCTGCCCTGTCTTGTGCTCAATCCCAACTCCTGACTGATTATTCTTCAAAGTTCTGTACACTGTAGACAATGGAATGTCATGTCTACCAGCTAACGCTTTCGCATTAGTCACACCCCTTTCAAAATCATCTAGAACCGGCTTTCTTTTCTGTTCTGCTGTCAAATCTGCCATGTCATCAAAGGAAGCGTCTGCTAAACCAAGGGATATAACTCAAGATGTAGTAAGGTTCATTATTAAGCCTACAAGAGTTGCCTCCCATATTGAGTACCTTACTTCATAATGTAACACTTATGTTCAAATTCTATTATCAGTATTAGGGTACAAAGATTTTTTATCAATACTTTCAGCGAAAACTGTATATTGGCAGTTTGCAGTGTCGAGAGAACGGTTAAAGGTTAAACTAATGAATTCTCTTTACGCTTGTTGTTTGGTCTAATGTCGTGTGGTGTGGTTTGGGGGAATTGAGCGTGTTATGTGCTGTGATATTGTTCACCGCCATATAGTTGGAATATTGACAAGTGCGGCGTTAAACAACAAACCAACCAATTCTTATTCTGTGGTGTCATGCTGGTGTTTGGTGGTAGTGGTGTAATAGCGCTGTGTATTGTTTTGAAATACGTAAAGTTTAACGTAATCAGTTTCTCAAATATATAGAAGGTGTCATTCAAATAAAATATCTTTCGTTGCGCAAATTTCGAGAAAACCTGGCATTTAGACACCACATCTTTTCTTTCTCTGTGTGTGCATGTTTGGCATTTCCTCGAAATTTTCAGTTGAGGTAGTGGATTTCTGACATGACCAATATTGGGACATTGTCGTTAAAACTGTCAGTAAATTCAGCAAGGATTACACATAAATAATTCAGATAATGCCTTTTTATTGTTGTTTTCAGCCCTTGACATTCTGCTATATTCGTGTATGAGTATATGAATAGTAGATGATTGTAGATATGCGGGTCTAATATTCAGATTTGACCTCGGTTCATGGGAAGTTAAACCAGTCACATGACGTTTTCATTTCAACTGTGTTAACTATAGAGTGCTTCTTTAATGCGAACTCGGCAATAATTTACTTACTTCAAGGACATTTATATGCGAAAATTTGGTTGTTTCAAATTGCAGAAGCGTTAAACGTGTCAAAGTCTGATTTTAAAGTTTTGTTAAATTCACAATGTCACACATTTTCGATAATATATAAGATCAGAAGCGAACATACACCGTCATTTTATGCACTATTTACAAGACCAAAACATTTGAGAGAACACAAATATATCTATATCCACAACGCATATTTAAAGGTTTCTGTTACCGAAAATGCCTTTTCCAGAGGGCAAATATCCATGCGGTCGCCGTGTGATAACAAACATGAATTATGGAAACAACAAACTGAATCAATTCATTGACAATGGCGATGGCAGGTGCTCGTGCAAGTGGTGACATGTCATGCCCCGGGAATGTTTTGAGTGAAGGTCAAGGTCTCATGCAACTGCAACGGCTGTTCCTGTCATCCCATCTCACATATTGTGTGTACCTGTTTACTAGAAGCATAACACGCCTGGAGACATGAACACTTTCTATTTATGATGCACAGATGTTTCAGATTTGCAAGAACGCTTCAGGAGGCAGCGGTTTGATGGGTAATATATGTGTTATTGTCAATGTGTCCATATTTTCATCAAGAAAATAATACAGCACTACAAAATGTAAGCATCCACACGAAACTGAAATCGCAATCAGAATTTATTTTCTCACGAAAAACATTTGTTTTTATAAATTACGTGACATGCTCGAACTCAAATACGGAAATTATGGAGTATGTCTATTTTTAAGAAGTGAATACGTCGTGTTATGTGAAAATGGGTGAACATAATACTCAAAGACTTTTTGGAAAGAAATTTCAACGAGGCAGTAATTGGCAGCTA